TATTATAGAATATAATTTTCTTGTGTATTAGAAGCTTTTAGTTAGACATGCTTTAGTCATTTCTGTCTTCATTATCATTAAGTTATAATTACTTTTAATGTGAGTCTGCCATTAATGTTCCTTGTAAAATTTCCTCAAGGTAAAGTACATTCAGGAAAGTATAAGTGCCTTTTATGTAGTTTCAAGCCTTAGTAACTCAAAGGCTTTACGTATTGAAACATAGTGTTCGGTAAATTAGTTAAGTTTAAAATTTTGCATCGCTGGATTTTTACTAAATGTAGAGCGTCGATGCAGTTTTTAAGGGTTTGATAGCACTGGACCTGGATTATTAAGTATACGTTCGATCCACGCCAAGCACCAATGTGTTTTTCAATTTTAGATGTTTTTAATGCAATTTTTATGATTCAACCTGCACATATCGGTGAAGAAATTCTAAGATATATGTGAATTTAACCAACCGATACTGGGTCAACGTGGTTAACTATGGCCCAGTCACCCTACCTTGGGTTGGCTCCGAGCACGACGAGGATACATGAGTTGACGATATAAATGTAATGACTATACCATTCCTGCTACTAATTAAGTAGTATTGCTGGCGCACTCGGATTTCTTATAGTTACTATAAGGTCGACCTTAGGGTATGTTTCTACACCTAATCTTCATAAGTAACCCTGAAACAACACAAAGAATAGCAGTCAGATCTTACGAGGAAATTTCTTTTTTATCATCTCAATTTTATGGCTAATTTTTACAACAGTTTTCTTTTACTACTTGTACAATGGCCCGTCATTTTGACGAGATAAGGCGCAAGTTTTTGAGACAAGATACGTACAACCTTTTAGGTATATTCTCTAAAATAGAGTGCCTTATCAATATTCCTTCACTGATGTTTGTATCGATGTAACAAGAATTGTATTATGTTTGATAGACACATTTCTCAGATATTACCCTATACAAGAGATCTTTCGTTTTTTTTTAATATATGACGGAGCAAAATCTGGTGAAGTATTTAAAATATTAATATAATTGATATGGCCACTAAATAACATGACTTTGAAGAGGACTTATTTCTTCCGTGATAAACTAAAGCTTTTGGAAACTCTTCTTGTATTGCTCCAATAGCGTAATGAATCCTTAAAAGATCCGGCAACTCCGGCCGACGGAGCAAGACTGTCTTTGTATCGCTAGTGCACCTGAGACGGTCAAAAGTCAAATCATGTTTGATTTTAAGAAATAATGTTTAAGTTTAAAATTACAAATTAAATTTTAACAAACTGACGGTACTATATATAAAAGTATTTGTGCTGAATATAACTAATTAACCATCACATAATTTTATTAAGCAGCTGCTTACATAGATAAAAAAAAATAAAACAGTACAAATTGTAACACGCACGTATTGATTTGTCTATATATCTAATACTTTGAATGCGGTGAGATGAAAAACTACGCTCTAGTTGAACATTAATAAAGCGTAATCATTGACCTTTTCAAAGCCATAGATCTATAGTCTATTTTATTATTAAAATGCAGACATGGACATGCTCTATTGCTGCATTTTAAAAGGTAATTCTGAAACTTACACGGCGTAATGTTTATAAGTCTCTGTATCTTTGAATTTAGTGCACTTGCAAGTTAATTTGTTGGCAACTATTAATTTCAGATGTCGTCGGTTTTGCGCGTCGTTCTTGTAATAAAACAGGAATTAGTAATCTGATAGCAGAGCTCGGGTAGTCTAGCGGCTACGTTACTTTAGCCGTTTGATATACGGACTTAATATTATGCTTTAAACTGAGTTACAATCTTAAGCCTGATGCTATGAGTTGCATCTGAGCTTAGACGCTTGGTAATATCAATATTCTTTATGTTTATAAACCACTAACTAACGTCCACGGCTTCGTCCGCTTCCACCTCCTTACAACCCTTTTTGTCTCTTTAAAAATTAGCCTAATTCCCTTCTCAGGTTCTGGACTATCTTTGTGCCAATTGTCATTTGAATTGAATTAGTACTTTTGTCATAAAAGCGCGACAGACTGAGTTACTTCAGCATCCATAATATTGTCAGGATTAGGCAGATTTGTATGAAACTTTAGTATGGTGTTTCGAGGACGTCAAAGAAGGTGTGTGGTCTAAAAACACAGTCACCTAGAAGTCTTGGATTAGACCCCATCTTTAGATTTCTAAATGCTAGTATAATGTTTACAATCGTACCTGGAAAAGCGAGAGTTCAAAGGACCGCGATATTTTTCGATTAATTTTGTCACTTATCCAGATTTCATTGTATATGCCACGTTTTAAGTTTTATCGACCTCATTTTCATGGAATCATGTAGTGATAAAAATAATTTTTCCTTGGTGCCTATAATTCAAAATGAGTCATGTCAAAGATAAAATAAGAAGAATTGTCTACCTTTTGCTACAATGAACATTTAGTTAATATATGTACTTATATATTTTAATATACGGTCTCAGATTTCGGAGATAACAAGATGATTTAGTTGGGAGCCCTTTCGAAGATATAATGTGTTTTTATGGATCGTATAGGCTCCACGGAGACTCGCATTACTACGGTTTGTTACCTTTCTTACAATATGAAAATCTCCGGGGCTTCTATTCTTTTTTTATTCATTTACATCATTGTGAAATTAGTATGTGTCGTAAATTGTCGTTTAAAAAAATAAAAAATTGATTAGGGTCTAAAGACTTTAAAACAAATGTTATCGAATTCATGATAAATTGGTTTGTTTGTATTCCTACATATTTCTATGATATTTTTAAAACTAATTATATAGTACAAACGCTATGTATTTGGCACAGTATGCTACGAAAAGTGCCTGTCGTCTCGCCTGGGTCGGAACTATGACATATACCCTTGTTTTTGTCGCGACCCCACATGCTCCTAAATCAAATGAACATAGTATGAACTCGTAATAGTTTGCGGACTACTGCCGTTTTAGACCGCTTTTCCACTAATGGCCTAGTAATCAAGCCTTGGATAAAAAATACAATTATTTTAAATACTTTATATGAGAAGGAATACAAAATGGAACAACTTCTTTCAAAACTATAGATCCAGGTATCTCGATTCTTAGTATAAGTGCAAAAATGTGACCGTTGAGATCATAGAAATAAATCCCATTAGTCCGATTGTTATGCTGATCGGCCCAACGGAAAACACTCGTGGAAAAGGGGTCTTATTTGCGACCGAACGCTTTTTGTATCAGATTCTTGAAGGTTTTTTACCCTTAGCAACTTTCATACGCCCGAACAACTTTCGCATTGTACCGCAATATTTATCGCGGCTATATTAAGGATGGGTACCCTATTGACATAAATGTGTAGATGAACAAACGAGATGTTTCAAGGTTTTGCAAAAAGGCTAAGTAAAATCTACTCATGAGTGTTCTTTGATATTAGACTTTGCGTATAATTTTGTAGAAATTAGTCGATAGATATTGTGAAAGTTATTAAAGAGTATGTTTTTCCCTTAAATATTTGTTACAATAACGGCTTCCGGTAAAAGTACTTTGTTATTTATTTCTTAACATCGTATTTCGGAAGCCCACGCATAATAAAATTTCAAGAATCATGATTTCTGATAATATCTAAATATCAGCTTGTGATAAAAATTGTGTTTAAAATAAAATTTAATTTAATATCTGTCTTAAGTTTTTTATGGTTAGTCACGATATAATCTTCATTGGTGTGATCCCAATTTCATTTGAATATCTACGAGGTATTTGGATAAGAAATAATACTATCAATTCATCATTCCTAGCCTTTATGTGTCGTCCTACTGACGTGTCCGTTCGGAGAGCACTCATTCAGTTGTCAACGTGAAAGATGGATCAGGAAATACTAAATATTCTTCGTGTTTAATATTTTTAATAGACTTGAATATAGGAGAGTTCCATCAAGATTTCAGTTGCAGTGGTTAAAAATTTAATTTTGTTTAAATGCCAAAAAATACTTATAAACATCGAGGGTATGAAATCCCTAAAATATTTTTATGTACAAAATTTAGACTTTTTATTGGCAGTAGCAGTAGGTAGTCAACATTGGAGGTGCTTAAATTTTAGTAAACGATCGGATTAGCCTCGCCTCTCTGCCACTGTAGCTATTCTAGAAATATCTTCAACGTAACGTTGAAGATATTAGATCCCTAACACAACTACTGAAAATTTAAATTCAACAACGTTTATCTAAACTCAAGCAAAAAATAATCATAACTACTTATTAGTTTAATGACTGGTAGATACAGACCTTCTTTATCATCTACGAAAACAAAAAAATATAAGAAGCGAGAGTTCTTTTAGTATTTACAAATATTAATTTGTTAATTTGGTAATGTAATTTGACCTCTTTTATATGAATAAATATTCCGTAAACTTTTTAAAAGTCTAGTACTCGTATATTTTAGTGGCAATATTTTACATAAAGCGAAACCTAATCCTTTGCCGTTATAATGATCGTTTTATTGCGCTGCGTATTTTCTGGGCTAGTGTCGAGGGCGCTCCACGCGGCTGATGTTGGCTTCTGCGGATTACTGGATCAGTGCATCGTAGCTTAAATATCGCAAATATTCCCCCGTGCGTACGTTCAGATAGATGAATTATGTCCGGCCACTGGATAATCTGTGAAAGAGAATCTGAGAAGCAATTATTTGCATAGTCGGTAACATAGTGGAATATCTAAAGCAAACATACAGAGAGTATTGAATCGGAATATCCGATTATTATTTGGGTGTTAAGCAAATGAACTGAACTGTAGTTCACTAAACGTTATGTCAGTGCTGCTAACTAGTTTCTAACGGCAACCGCAAAATACATAAGTAAATTAATTAATTTACTAATTAGTAAGCATAAACGCAACGTAATGATTGCGTCATCTGACTGATTTTAGTAATTAAAATCTCTGATGATATCATAACAAATATGACTTTCGATGAATGGGATATCTATTGTTACCAGACTCATCACTAATTACATTCTTTATTCGCAGGCGTTGCTTCAGGCGCACGACGTGGTGGCGCGCGAGGTGTACGGCGAGGAGTCGCTGCGTGCATCTCCCCCACCTGTCAACGGCCGTGCTCCCGCCCCCGCGCAGGACGATGATGATGACACCGAACCCGAGTTCGAGAACGTGACGAGGGTGCGCCTTGTGCAGTTCCAGAAGAACACCGACGAACCCATGGTAAGTTCCGCCTAGCTAAAGTGGTAACCCCAGGTCTGTAGCAATGTAAAAAAGGAGACTCTCTAGAACATTGTACAGACAGATGTCAGTAAAGTTCACTTCACTGTCTTTTTACATGTTCAATGCAAGCCATACGTGTTTTTTTTTGTTTTTCCACTTCGTACGCTAGTTTAAACCAAAAGCCTTATTTACCTCATATATCTGTACGTTTTCCAATTGTATCATTGAAATTGAAAACAGAAGCTAAATTATTACTCTCCTTACTTAGAAAGCCTATAGTGATACCAATGAAGGCTATTCAATGCAGGCATATAGCTCCAATCAGAATTGGACGTCTTTAACAAGACCAAATTGCACTTGCCCAATAAATTAGTCGAATGACGTCCTTTGAATGTGATTCAATCTCGAAATGTTCTGTTACAAATCGTACTGCCTATTTTGACTACCAGTACTTAAAGGCTGTTCTAACGAACACTGTTAATTAATTTCTTTATTTTTTTTACTTTTATAAAAGCGTTATTTCATTATACATATTTAAGTTTATTTGATTCATTCCAATCTAATTTTTTCTTCTAAAAATCAGACACTAGCATTCCTTTCCCTATTTTATTTACCAACCGAATTTCTTTAAACAGCCCAATTTATATTCAGCACTGATCGGATTCAAACTATCGAGCGGAATTTGAATGTAACGATTATTACAGGGCATAACGCTGAAGCTAGCTGACGACGGTCGTTGCATCGTGGCGCGCATCATGCACGGCGGTATGATACACCGGCAGGCGACGTTGCACGTAGGAGACGAGATCAGGGAGATCAACGGCACACCAGTCGCCAACCAGTCTGTAGCTCAACTACAGCGGATGCTGGTAAGATTAATTTTCATGTTCGTTCATCGGTCATGGCCGAGTAATACTACTGGAGTAAGCATTAGGAATGATTATGAACTATAATATTAATCTAGATTAGATCATTATTTTTGTTTGTACTTTAACGAGTATATATTTCATTGTTGAATTGTTGGGAATATTACAAGATGGTGTCCATGGTTACATAGTTTTGTTATAAATTACAGCGTGAGGCTCGTGGCTCGGTGACCTTCAAGATCGTACCATCGTACCGCTCTGCACCACCGCCGTGCGAGGTAAGCTTCAATTGTGTTTGTTACTAATCTAATTAAGTTTTGAACCCCTTAGAGAGCTGTGTGTTGACTGAACGCTTACTCTATCGATTGCAACACTCCTTTAAACTGAAGCAACTCTGACGATGCTCATAGTAACAGATAATCTTGTATTTGGGTTTACTTGAATGTTTGAAATTAGAAGTGTGACTAACGCTTGCTTCAAACTAACCGAAACTTAAATCGTAGTACCAAAGATTCGACAAGCGCACATAAATAACCGCTAAATGCTTGTCCTGAAAGCATAAAATCAAATCGGTGAAAATAAAAACAAAATAAAAATTTTATATTTTTCCCTCCTAACTAGCTATTCCGGATAAAGCCTTCGCCCGTGCTAGTAAGTAGCTGGAGACGGAGCAGTCGCTACTTTATGTTGTTTTATGTTGGTCGTATAAACTTTATGTTATGTTGTGTTGTTTACGTCGTCCGGGCATGGCTGCGCGTCCCCGAGAAGATCTGCGTTTCTGTGCGCTTGTTGTTCTTACCATGGCTTCACTCCATCATTAATAATAATTTCTTTATTCTTTATAACAGTTGTTTTTCTTGTATTTCCATTTCGTTTCAACATATTGATTTATGCATCAGTATTATAATGTATTTTGTAACTTCTTTCTTTTATTCTTGTTTATATGCTTTTGGTAAACGATAGTTTTAGAGTATCTGTAGCATATGTATTGATGATAGAATTTAAAAGAACCTTATACCAAAAGGTAATTACGTTTTAATAACAATTAGCAGATATTAAATATTGTAGAGTCTTGAGATGTAAACAAAACTGTTTTCTATAATGAATTTATTTTCTAGATATTCGTGAGAGCGCAATTTGATTACGATCCATTAGAAGATGAGTTGATCCCTTGCGCTCAAGCTGGTATTGCATTCAACACTGGAGATATACTTCAGGTAAGTTAACTTTAATTTTTACATGGTTATCATTGTAATGAGATGTTGACTTTCGTCTTCTCTTTGTTTTGCAGATAATCAGCAAGGACGACTCTCATTGGTGGCAGGCACGCAAAGACGCGGCAGGCGGCTCAGCCGGCCTCGTACCCAGCCCCGAGCTGCAGGAATGGCGCGCCGCTTGTGCTGCCGCTGAGCGTTCCAACGCCGATCAAGGTAGACAGTCTTCTCTTTCTATCTTTTCCTTCCTCTCGTGGCAATCTTACTTCTGCTGGAAAGTGTCCAACACATGTTAAGGTTTGAACAATTATTTTGTCCGTTTACCTCTTATTGTGCTTCCTCTCCTTCTCATTCAAGCAAAGGTGTCACTTCCTATAAAAACGTGTGTTCTCTTTCTTTGTCGCCTATATTCTTTTGAGTTTTGAGTTTTAACACCGCAGCTTTAAAGATGTGGTAAATTTGGTGAGTGTTATTTCATGGTCAAACTCTGTCGTAACTTCTACCAAACGTAAGATACTGTTTTAAGGTCTTACTAGATGAGAACTGTGTACTAAATGTTTGATGATAAGATTTTGTTGAGTTCTTTTTTGAGTTTGTTTTTGAATGCATGCATCTAGTGTTAGTTTGGAGTGATTCTTATCATATCATTAACATTGTGTGTTTTCGTTTCAAATTAACATTGGACGTATAGTCGGTACGTAACTTTATTTTTATTATGCTTTATATATCTTTCATACCTTGAACTGAAATAAGATTATATCCCCTGCATGGTATCATGTTAACCCATCAAATTTTCAATAAAATATGTGTAAAGAACGTACAATTGTGTAAAAATCCAATGCTATTTAGTAGAGATAAAGTATTTGCTTCAGCAAATACGTTAAATGTTATTGTTACCTGATACTTTAATGGATTGAAGGAGTTTGTACAGTTCCCGACATAAGCCTATTCCAGTACAAGTGGGTAATGTTCTGAGATTTATTTATATCGTCAAGATTACTCCCAACTTTATTTGTACATGACTTTAATAACATTGTTTAATGCGAAATCAATGACATACCGTTTTCTTGACATTTTATTTTTGTATATTTTAAAGTATAGTCACCAATTTACAGGTTTCAATGCTTCTAATGTTCAGTTCATTTCTTTTAATATTTCTAGACGTGTGTCAGCTCTGAACCGGCACAAAAGTTTAGTTGATAGATTTGAACCGTTGAGCTGCAGCTCAACAAATAATTTGGAAGCTCACGGTTGAACGCGATGTGCAATCCAACGAGCTGGTTGTTGAGCGGTTTGTTAAAACAGAGAGCGAACACATGCAAATTGTGAACTGATCTGCAGGTCATTCATTTATGTTTACATCATAGTAATTTTATTATACTCTATAAAATCACTAGTTAAGTACACAGTCTCAGAGCATTGCCCCCAATATTGCGTGCCGTATCGTATCGATGTAGCGACCCTATGCCTCCATTACGGTGTGTTTCCATTGGCGTGTGCATGACCCGTGTTGTAATGTTGTGCGGCTAGGAGCCGAGGGCTGCGTGTCGCACACCGATGGCTGCGAGAACACAGGTACACTTTTAATACCTTAATTATAAACTGTATCTATAGATAGTACATGCGATTCGATTGCCAAATCGATTAAAATAATGCCATGTTGTACGTTAAATAGAGCGTCGGTGGCTTAGGGATCAAGCACTTGACTTGCAATCTGCATGTCCTGGGTTCGAATCCCGCCATGTACCAATGTGTTTTTCGATTACCGATTTACATATGTACATTTATCCGACGTTCTTACGGTGGAGAAAACATCGTGATACAAACACTATGCGCGCGATTTCTAAAACTTTTGTATCGGGCCCTTAATCCAATTGACTATTATTATTGCTTATTATTCCACTTATTAATACTTATATAAGTGCTTGTAGTTAGCACTCTTCAACTACATATACTGTGTCTAATTTCCAATTGAATATATACACAAACCTTTGACGAAACTTAATTTTTGAAATACTTTTCACTTCACTTTTAGATTAGTGGAAACCATAAACATTTGGTAGTTTTCGTAGTATGATGTTCATAATATTTCAGAATTAAATGTAGCTTTTACCTCGTAATTTTATTACTTTAAATAATAAGTGGCAACTTCAGTCAAATATTTTATTTCAAAGTACAGCACTATAGTGTTCATTTTAGCGTGGCTTGTTGTAAACTTATATAAGTTGATTTTGATAGTGATATTTCGTATTTAAAGTGTATTTTGATAAAAAAACACTTGGGTTGTTAAAGAAATGACAATTGATTTTTAACTCAGAAATCATCGAATTTACACAAAGCATAATATGTAATTATTATTAATAGCTTAACTTATTATTAACATATTATATTACTATTTCTTCTTCTAACTATAGTTTTTAGTATTTTTTTTATTAATCACATTTTACAGTTTATTTCAAGGATGACAATTCTTATTTGGTCAATATTTGTTGCAGTCAATTGTTCAATATTCGGACGTAAGAAGAAACAATCAAAAGACAAATATCTGGCGAAGCACAACGCTGTGTTTGATCAACTTGATGTAGTCACTTATGAAGAAGTCGTTAAACTACCATGTAAGTACTTTTATATAAATAAAAAAAAACATTTTGAAAAAAGAATGTACGTGTTGCAAAAAAAGGTACATCACACTGTTTTTGTCCCCTTGTACAAATAATATGTCTATATTAGTTTTGTTTTTCAGAACTCTCTCTCTTTTCTTAACATACTCATGTTAAGGATGAAAAAATGAATTTGTACTTATTTGTGCAAGAAATTCACGTTTAAATTTACATTGAAATGAAATTGTAACTTTTTTTTAACTACCAAAAAAAATCTTATTTGGCTTAAATCTTTATTCTTGTAATTTGAACACATTATAAAATTTAAACTAATAGTAAACAGTCTGGTTAGCTACTGTTAGGTTAATTTCTGTGTTTCCTCGCAGCTTTCCAAAGGAAGACGATAGTGCTATTGGGTGCGCACGGCGTTGGGAGACGTCATATCAAGAACACGCTGATAGCGCGACACCCTGACCAGTACGCTTACCCCATACCGCGTGAGTACTCCACTTATAGTGCAACGAAGTTATCTGGCCCAGTGAGAGAAACGTTATTAGTTAGTTCTGTGAGAAAATATTTAAAACTTGACATGACATTTACTTGGATAAGGAGTTTGTGGCACTTTTTGATTAACTTGTGCCCAGTACAAATAACATTATCGGTCTAATATAAGTATATGACCTTAGTCTAAGTTTTGTTTGTGCCTCTTATTAAGTGATCAATTGTTGTTCGAGTGTTGAAATTTTTTGAAACACTAGCTGACACCCGTGACTCTGTCCACGCGAAATTTATAAATAAAAATTGAATTGGTAGCATATATGTTCGACTACATGTTCTACTGCTATGACAAATTTCATTGAAATCCGTTGAGTCATTCTGGTGATACTTCTAACAAAGGTCCATCCATCCAAACATTCGCATTTATAATATTAGTAAGATAAATTCTTAATGTTTTATTTTCAGATACAACTCGTCCACCCAGACCTGATGAAGAGAATGGGAGACATTACTACTTTGTGACTCATGAAGAAATGATGGCGGATATCGCAGCTAACGAATATTTGGAATATGGTACGAACAAAAAACAATTTATTACGTTAATAAGACAACCGATTATATTATGACTAAGTGAAATTGTTTGTTTTTTTTTGGGTATTTTGTACATATCTCAAGTTTTCCTTGACTCTAGCAGTTCGATCTTTAGTTTATTTATAAGAAATTGTATCTACACTAATTTAGGCTCAAGCAAAAAGATGATGTTTTTTATATCATAAGGTGGCAAACGAGCGAGCGGCCACCTGAAATCGCTGAAATAGCGTTGCCCAGAGACATACTCAATTGCATATGCGTTACCTACCTTTAATCGACGGAGGAGAGGATGCACAGAAAGACAATATTTTCTCTTTCCATGCATCCTCTCATCCGGAAAGTCCACTACCACTTGCCATCCTTTTCTTATAAGAAAAATGGGTGAGAAAGCAGGACTAAAAGGCCTCCGGGACGCACACTCATCAGACGAAACGCATAATAGCTTCCACTTGAGGCGTGTCTTCTGTGTGGTCGTGGTATATCACCGGACGAGCCGGGACTATTCGTGCGAACATGTTAAAGCGGGCTCTACCACTGTTAATGTATGTATGTACGTATATTATGTATGTTATTTCCTACGTATAAAGGTACGCACGAGGACGCAATGTACGGCACGAAGTTGGAGACGATTCGTCGTATCCACGCGGAGCGCCGTGTCGCCATACTGGACGTGGAGCCACAAGCACTCAAAGTGTTGCGTTCTGCTGAGTTTGCACCTTACGTGGTGTTTGTTGCAGCACCACCGCTCAACAATGTCGCCGATGTAAGTATCGAATGTTCTAGTTTGTATTTTCTTTTTAAACATAATCACGTGACCCTTGTCGGGGCGAAAAGGACAAGAAAATCATCGTCAAGTTTGTCATTGATAAAATAAAAAAAAAACAAGCCGATGAGAGATGAGAATAAGAATCCAAACGTCTTTACGGTTACCAAGAATCGGGGCAAAATTTTAAAAAAGACTATAACATACCCACATGTATCAACTTCCCGTCCAAGTCCCATTAAAATCGGTCCACCCATTCCGAAGATTACAGGGAACAAATGAAGCCTTGTGTACAGACAGACCAAATAAAAAAATTAAGTTATATATAGTATTATATAGTATATATTTTCGATATTACAGACACTACAATTTTATTAATATACTAGCGGACCCGACAGACGTTGTCCTGTCTACACGTCTTTAATTCGAATATTATTTAAAATTTGACACTGCGATGGTAGCGTCGTCTGTCGGATCCAATGTAAAACATTCCAAAATCAACAACTACTAATAAATTAAAAATTAATTAAAAAAAAAAACATTGTCCAGCGGACAAAATTGTGAATCTAAACCATTCCCAGATCCCCTTGAACACACACAAAAAATTTCATCAAAATCGGTCCAGTCGTTTGAGAGAAGTTCAGTGACATACACACTCACAGAAGAATTATATATATAAAGATATAACTTCCATTATTCCAGTACGATGGTTCCCTGGAAGTGTTGGTGCGTGAATCTGAGCAGCTGCGTCGTACATACGGCCATCACTTCGACCTGTGCATAGTGAACAATGACATAGATGACACGCTCGCGCAGCTGGAAGCGGCACTCGCGCGTCTGCGCACCTCACCGCAGTGGGTGCCTGTCGCCTGGGTCTACTGACTGACCACGGACTGCTACCTCTAGACACAACTATTCTCTCAGATATAAGGTACACATTTACCTGACCTCTACACTACAACTGGAATACGACTCTGTCTCAAGTTAAACTTTTACTTATGTATCTTTATGCGAAATACGACTCTATTGTTTGGTATATAAGGTTCAGATTTACCTTACCTATAGACGGAACACGACTCTTGTCTAAGGTATAATTCAGTTTTACTTATCTCTAGACGAAATATGACTCTATTGTTTGGGTTATAAGGTTCAGTTTTACTTACTTATGTCTCTTTAGACGAAAAACGACTCTGTTGTCTAAGGTATAAGATTCAATTTTACTTACCTATAGACGAATCATATTATTTTCAGATATAAAGTTAAGTTTTACTTACTTATTGCTAGACGAAATACGACTCTATTGTCTTGGGAATAAGATTCAGTTTGACTTACCTATTCACGTGTTTAAGAATTAAAAATAATTGTTTTTGATTTATATTATATTATTCTAAAACGTTTTATCCCATTTTAGGTTTTTAATTTAGATCTGTTTTATTATTGGTATAGGCTGTTTTTATTTATTTAGTTTGATTCTATTTGTTGTTTACTGAAATTGTTCTATTATATCTGTTGGTTTTAATGAGGCTATGTTTCCTTCAAATCTTACGGCGTTTGTTGTTTAATTTTTATAGTTGTGTAATTTAATTACGAATAATAACGAAGGAATTTTGTTGAAATTTCAATCAAAAACGAAATATATTTAAAATTGGAAGATTAAAAAGAAATCTTACATCAAAGGATTAACATAAATCTTAAATTTTTTTCTTTGTTTTTTTTTGTTTCTGATATTTTTAATTGCGTTTCTATTGAAGTTGAAGTATAACTTAAAATCTTATAAAAATTACAAAAAAATGTTGTATTTAAGTATTGGATAGTTAGAAAAAACAACAGAAAAATTGATTTACATATCATTTAAAAAATTAAATGCTCATTGAAAATGGAAAGATAGAAATTGATTAAAAAGAAAAAGACAAAAAAAATATTTGTCATTGATATTTGATAAATAAAAAATAGTAATTTAAATTGGGTCGTTAATCAGTGGAAGCGCAATTAAAAAAAAAACATAGATTAAAAAAATTGAACATCCTGTATACACTAATCGACAATTTTACATAATATACGAATTGTCTTAACACTTTAGTCGTTCTCACTTCGAGAATGTAATTAGAAGCTCAAAATTTTATTCTAATTATATAAAAATTTAAATAAAGTAGATTTTCGTGTATATTATGTACTCAAGTATTCACTATTATGTAATCGTATTTGATCTTCATAAAACAATAACGAATTGTTTATATTAAAATTAATAATAATTTAAACGAATCGAACAAATTTAGATGTTTCGGAATTTAAAAAAAAATTTCGACGACAAAAAAAAACGAATTAGTGTGTTAGGTTGTCACAAAATTAATTCAAATAAAGGCCAATTGGTTGGCTTTTTAAATATAAAGTTAGATTTATTTCTAATGTACCTCATTAAAATTTGCTACTTAAAAAAATATAACAATTTTTTTTCCCGAGCTGGAAATTTCCGGATTAAAAAATATTGTTATCTCAGTTGTTTTAAAAGAAAGAAAAGAGATGGCTATACATTTGTACTGTTTTATTTCAGCATTTGTACAACGAATTCTTAATTAATAATTATAAAGAAGATCTAAAATTAAAGTATGATAGAATAAAAAAATACACATCTCTTGCAATAGGAAGAAAATCACATTTTATCTGGTTTAGAACTCAAAGCGATGTAATGAATATTACGCAAAAAAACAACGGTTTGCGACTATTAATTTATTATGAAAAGGCAAAATTTGACCAGCAGAGTCGCACATAGGTAACTGAGGGTTACCCTTAGTGTACGGCAATGTAAAGATTATAAAACGCCTACAATTATAAATGCTTTTAGCTGATAATTCCAATTTCGAATATTATTTTAATTGACAAACTGCGTTATCCAATACGAATTATTAGATTTTAGATAAGGGAACATACCCATACTACGTGACCAATTTTTTTTTAGTTTTTTCTAAGTTTTTTAAGACTGCATGCATACTTAAATTACTAGTGAATGATGTATTATGAAAAAGAAAAACTAACGACTACGTGACAAAAACCTGAGCCCCCC